TAATCAAAATGCACTTTAAAATAAAACTGAGCAGAACTACGGGTTTGCTGATATCTCTTTAAGGAACAATGACATCAATACAGGCTACACTTGAGAAGGATATAGGTATGGAACTACATCCTTTTTCATCATACAGTCAGGTGTAAAGGGAAAAGTTAAACTTCAAGATTCCTGTGGTTTAATAAAAATAAATACCATTACAAACAGATCCAGGAACACAGACGCATTAAATACTGTTTGTTTTTCTTCAGATATAGATCATGGAATGGAGATATTTAACTACTTCAAGACTAATTTTTATTTCATTTTAATCTAGTTACTGTCAGCAATCTCCTGGTATCATGACAACTAGCAGAAGCAAAAAAAAAAAAAAAAAGAAAAAGGTGGAAAAAAGTGAGCAAGTGCCTGTGAAAATCATTCTCTAAGTATTTAATTGGCCTGCTTTGATTACACTAAGCAACTGAACGTCTATCATAGTTTCTGTATCACTCATCTAGTAATATTTGTAAAAAAGAAAATAAAAACAAAAACACATTTCTGTAGCTCTACAAGAAAAGCTACAAAAATTTCAATAAATCTTAAAACTGTGGTGGGTGTTTCACAGTGTCAATTTCCTCATTACAAAAAAGGTACCAAGGAGCAAACCGATCACACAGTGCTTATGTCAAATCTCAGACAAGGAAAACCACATCCTAATACTCTGCCATAAGAGCAAATGGAAAAACTGCCTGTGCCTGTGCACACATAAGAGGCACACTACAGAAATACATGATGAACAACACTGCTTTGTTTCTCATGCTTGTATCTAAAAATTTACATAGCAAATTTAACACATTCCCACCCCCTAATCACTTAATGCCTGAAATTCCTACAGAACCTGAAATTTTACTTACTTGAATGTGAATCACAAGAACACATTGAGAAGCAGCATCTTAAAGCAAGTCCAACTGCAGATCACAGAAATTTCAAGTTAAGAACACTATTTAAGGAAAGTAAGTTGTGACTTTCTAAAAGTAATACTAATAACTAATTATAACTAGACAGAAAGGATAACATTTGTCTACCAGCATGTTATGTGGATCTCCTTAACTCAATTTATTACGGATCTCATGGTGCAAAAATTAATGCCCTTCAGAAGCTGAACTCATTACCAATTATTTCTTCCAAACCCACGGTGTAATCCCGTGCTTTTGTGACCAATGGGAGTTTTGCCATTCACTTAAAGGGAAGTTGGATCTGCTCCCGGGTTTGCTCCTCTAGCAAGAGATACTGAACAAAATGATACCACAGCCACTCTCTTGATTTTTTTTCTGTTACATAACAGACACTATGAACCAGTCTTATGTATTTAGTCCATGCTAAAAATAAAACAAACATATTGATGATAATTTTAACTACCCGTGAAGTCAACAATAAGGATTATATGCCTTTTCTCAATGTGATTTTCCAGAATATATTTCAGCAACTATAATGGCAAGCAGCCTGTAAGTCACTCATGGACCCTACTCAGCCCTTCAACCCCTTCCCTATTCTAGAACCCACAGGAGCATTCCTAAAAGTCACAACACAGGTACAAACAGCCTCCCATCACCCACCTGACCCAATAAACTCCTTCTACATGCCTACTAGAGAAAAGCATAGGTAAACATAACAAAAATTAACAAACAAAAAAGGGAAGAAAATAAGCCACTCTGGTGGCCAAAATGAAGTTCATCTTAGGCCACGGGTACCACAACTCTAAGTTTCAAAATAAAAAATGCTTTCAGAATAATTAACTAAACCACTGAGTTTTAATTTCTCTGAAAAGCAGGAAATAAATATTACAACACCTTTGGAAAGACTCAGCCAAGTGTAACAGTGCACAGTAAATACAATAAGCTGTTTTCATGTTTAGATGTTCAATAAAATAGAGTAAACCTTTAAGCAACCCATACTACATTATGATAGGAATCCACTGGCATTCAATTTAAAATCTTGTCTGTTACTTGTACTTAGTGCCTGTTTCATGTCAAAAAAGTTTCAAGAAATTTTATTTTAGAGAACTGTAACGTACATGTGAACATTTAAAAAATATTATCTGATTTATTAATGCTATGAAAACCAAAGATCAATCCCAGCAATGTCTCGTGTTGCAGTGGGCTGACTCTGACTGGAATCCATGTGCCCACCAAAAGCTGCTCTATCACTCTCTCCTCAGCTGTACAGGGAAAAGAAAAATATAACAAAAAGCTCAGTCACCAGTTACCATTATGGGCAAAACAGATTTGATGCAGGGAAATTCTAAACTTTAAACTCCCTCCTCCTACTTCTTGGGCTTAACTTTACTCCCAGTTTTCTCTACCTCCTCCCCATCGCAGAGCAGAGGGACAGAAACAGGGTTTCCAGTCAGTCCATCACACATTGTCTCTGCTGCTCCTTCCTCCAAGGGGAGAGGATTCCTCACAGTTTTCCTGTGCTTCAGCATGGGGTCCCTCCCACAGGAGAAATTCATAGCTTAAAACTATTGCACTATGGCATTTCACTGCCATCAACATGCAGCATCTGTTCTGCCCTATATTCTGGCAGACTAAAAAGCAGGTAGCATAAAGATCCATTAGGATATCTCTCAAGTTTGCAACTAATTTTACACAAATCTGTGAACTATAAGCAGGATGCTCTTCCCCTTCACCCTCAGCTCACGTGTATCTTCTTGCTTTAAATTCTAATGAATAATTTGTTGATTCTTTCCCCAGAGAACTATCAAACATGTATTTTCTCTTCTCCCCTAATGCATTCTAGCAAGATCCAAAAACTCCCTTATTTTTTTACTAACCTAGGCACTCTCTGAAACTAAAAGCCCCACAAACTGTAAAAAGCAACATGTGGGTCATGTTGCATCAGCACCATACTATTTCTGCCAGTAATACAATGAATATGTTGGATTTGTCTTACTTCAAGAGAAATACTAAGCCTGAAACAAAACCTTGTTTTGCTTCTTACTGGTCAGGGAATGAGTTTAACACCATTATAATGCATTCCTAATTCAGCAGCATCTAGAATGACTTCTAACAAGCAGGGAGATAGATTAACAGAATGTAAAGAAAAGCAGCATTTCCTTATCGCAAAGAGGCAAACTAATAACTAAAACGGAAATAAGGTAAATCCAGAAACAAAGCAAGCAAACAAGCAAAAAGGCAAGAAATATAATTAGTTATAATGTGAAAACTGGGGAAAGAGATTTTTAAAATTTAATTTGTTACCCACTACTATTGGGCAGTAGTCCCCATTACAAATGGGGACTGTAATGTATCATTCTGTAAGGAACTTGCCGTATCATTGCAAGAAAACCTGAAATACCTACAGAAACTAATAGCAGCAACTGTCCCTACCTTCTTAAATCCTATACATAATTTTATGTCCCAGTCTCTCTCTTCACTTTTCCTACTGCAACCAGAACTGCAGTAACTTCTTAGCTGGACAGGCAGGACAAGGTTATCACTTTCAAGATCCTGAAATCAGTGCTAATCCCTTTACCAGTGACAGGGTAGAAGAGCTCATAGCCATCAAAGTGATGGCACCTCACTGGTGTATATAGCTCTATCTCACACAGCCGAAGAACCTCATCATGAATGACAACATTCTGGGTAAACAGCAAAATAAACCAAAAGAGAACTATCACATAAGCAGCATGTTTAACTGGCATGATCGTTTTAACCCCTGTTAAACCTCATGGGATTTATAAGCTAGTGCCACTACATATTTAAATAAACAAATAATCTAAAACAAGTGGCTTCAAGCTAAACCAGAGTTGTACATTCCCAGAGCAGAACTGGTCAAGTAGAGATGGTCAAGGACAGTACAAGAACAAGGCAAGCACATCACTGCTCTTCCTTAAATCCTACAGATCCTGGAACCTCCAAGATTTGTAGCTCTGAGATCTTCTGCGCTAGAAAGCACATTGCTGTGGTTAACCGATTTTTCTTCCACAGCTAAAGCACTGCAATTTAAGACTGTTCTAACTGGAGTTAGAACTTGCTGGAATATTTAAAAGCCACTATGGCACTGCAGGACACTGAATTCCCAAACTTGGGCCGAACAAACTCTTACAGCAACCCAGCTCAAATCACCTCAACCCCCTGAAGTTGCACCTAGACCCAGCTGTAGTTTTTCCACGGACAAACATCGGAGAGTGTGCTGTCTCAGGTAAAACAGTCCTTTGGGTACATTTACTGAATGTTTTTCTCCCCAACTCTTCACACTAAGAAACCATAGCCTTCTTCCTCAGAAGAAATAGACCCTCACATCATCATCAAGAACTCCGATTAGCACGAATTACAAAAGGAGCTGAGGTATACAGCTCATTGGGATTTCCTAAGCAACTTCAAGTCATAAATATTAAAAAAAAAAAAAAAAAAGCACAAACTTTATTTTTTTTTTCTTTTTTTTTTTTTTTTTTTTTTTAATGCATTACTACAGTGGTGAGCATCTTCCAGAGTTTGCTCTCATCTGCCACTAAAGATCCAGCACCGACCTCCTGAATCTGTTCGGGGCAGGTTCCATCTCAGGCTGTCCCGGCCCCCTTCTCAGCGCTGTCCCCCTCCCGGGAGGCGGCAGCCCGCCCCGTCCGTCCCTTCCCTTCCCGCAGAGCCGCAGCCTCTGGGACCCCAAACCGCGCATCCCGCACGGCAAACTTGCTGCCCTCCATCTCCGGCTCCGGAGCGGGCGCTAAGTCGGGCAAGCCGGGTCGCCCGGCGGCCATGGCGAGGTAACACTAACCCAGCCAAGGGGCTGCCACGGCACACGCAGCCGGTCAGTGGCGCAAGGGCCCGGCGATGGCTCGGTCCCGGGGGCGGAGGAGGCCGGGCAGGGCCGCTCGCCCGCGGGGAGGCGCCGGGTCAGAGCGGCCCGACCTAACGCCGCCTCGGCGGGACGCGCCGCCGCCGCCGAGCCCCGCCGCAGAGGATGGTCCGAGTTCCCTAGCACCGCGGGGCGGCCCCGGCACGGCCCCGCCGCCCCGTTACCTGCGCGCTCCGGCCCCGCCGCCGCCTCCGCAACAAAGCCGCGGGCGGGCGGGGGGAGGGGCGCGCGCGCCCGCCGGCCTCGGGAGCGCGCGGCGGCGGGGCCGCGGCCCGGGGGCGGGGCGAGGCGGCGGGGCCGGGGCGCGGCGGTGGCGCCGCCCTGCGGGCGGGAGAGGCGGCGCGGCGGGGCCCGGCGGGAGCGGCGGGAGCGGCGGGAGCGGCGGGAGCGGCGGGAGCGGCGGGAGCGGCGGGAGCGGCGGGCGGGCCGGGCGCTGCTCGGGGGTCTCTCCGGCCCGACCTGCCCCCGCACAGCCAGCTGCGGGTCCCTTCTCGGCTGTTCGCGCTGGCGGGCTGCCCAGGATGGACGGAGTAACCACAAATGGAGTGACAGACCCTGCCAGGGATATCGAGGAAGAGAATGGAGTGGTGCTCATGGTTTCGGAAGAGGCCATATGGAAACAGGATTAAGCCTAGAAGTGCTTTAGGAAACCTGCACAGTGGGAAGGATGCCCTTTGTGGAGGAGGAGGGAGGGGTGGATGGAAAAAAAGGGAGATGTGCCGAAGAGACTTCCAGTTGTGGAATTGAATTAGGGGGCATAGATTTGGAGTTTGAATACTGTGAAACAACCTTAATAGTTTCCTAACAATAGCAGAGGTTGTTTGTTTTTTTAAGGAGCAGGTGTTATGCTACTGTGTGAACATCTATGTAATTTACATGCACTCTGACCGTTATTCTCTTTGATGCAGGGACACATGCAGAAAACAAATTTATCTGACCAGTTTCTGCACTCTGACGAACTCCAAACTCTCTTTGCTGACGAAATACTGTAGCAAAGTCCACCTTAATACTAGATTTGCTATTTGTACCCAAAAGAACATTGCACAGGGAGACCTATATCTCTGGAACAAAAAAGTGGTGATGCTTCAGCATCTGCTTTTTGATGATCGGGAACACTGGAGACTTGATCATCCAGGAGTATTTATTGAGCAGCATTATCAAGGAGCCAAACCAAGGGAACTAACACAAATGCTAATGAAACATTGAAGTTAAGATTTTAGTTACTTAAAGGTCAGCACATTCAAGTTTTATTACTTTAAGGGAGTTATTCTGTATACCCACAGCAATCTGCATTCAGCTCCTATATAGATAAAAAATTCATGTTATTGTTTATTTGCTGATGGATTCAAGTGATATAGCTGAATACTATTCCTGACTATTATTCCTTTTTGCAATTAGGGTCTTGGTCTTTAAACATTTTATTAACACTTCTCTGTATATTTCCTACATTCCCATCCTTTTCAGTAGCAATAAACCCGTTGTTTTCCTCTAATCCTTGTTCTACGTTACAAAAAGCTACATTTCCTTTCAAGTCTGGAAGCTCTAGTCAGTTAGCAACATTTGTGGCTAAACTATCACAAAACACGCGCAGGCACTCAGCAAACGAATGTATCAGAACAGCCCTCTGAACTGTCTTGCCCATCAATGGTGCTGCCTCTGGGATGAGCCCATGCTGCCCCCACGTTGTACAAGGGCATCTTCTGGAAAAGCAGAAACTGGCCTTGCCGAAAGCAGTGCTGGGGGCTGTCCGCAATGGCGCTGACTGTGTCCCACCCCTTCCAGCCCGTGCCCTGTCACCGTTTTGTATACTAAGATGGGCCCACAGGTCCGTGTAACCTGTAATAGTTACTCTCCAAGTGACAACATACCCGTGTCCTTTGAACATCAAAGAGATGGAACCAACCTTTAGACTAGAGGTTTTTAAAAGGCAGTAGGCTTCAAAAAGACAGCCTGTGAGCCCAGCGGCACCAGCGACCCTTCCTAGGCGTTGAGGAGCAGAGGATGTGCGCTGTTAGCTGGGTCCCAGCAGCGGTGGGGGAGCAGGATGTGCGCTGTATACACCAGCCTGAGGCGGGAGTGTACGACCCGAGCCCGAGCAGGCGATCGGCTGCCGTCCCCCGCCGACCCGCTGACAGTGCCACAGCCTGGCTCCCCGCCCCGGCCTGGGCGATCGCAGCGCCGGCCGCCCCGGGTCTGCCCTAATAGAGAGAGGCTGTCGCTTTCCGGCTAGAAGCGATCGCCCGTAGCTGCGAGCCCGTGCGGTGCCCGGGGCCGCCCTCTGCCCGGGGCCGGCTGCCAAAGGCCGCCGCGGGGCCGCGCACCGGGGCCCCCGCCCCCGGCGTTCGCGGCTCCCCCTCCCGCCCGCAGATAACCGCGGCCCCTCAGGCTCTTCCCCACCCGCCTCGCGCGGACTCGGCCCCGGCTCCCAGCCGCTCTCCAGGCGCCAGCTCCCTCTCGTCGCCGCCGCAGCGCGGGCAAGGATGGCTCGGCAGCCCCGGGGCTTTCTGCAGGAGGCCTCTCACCAAGTCGTCGCCGGAGGCTCGGCGGGTGAGTGCGCGCGTTCCTCGTGGGCGGGAAGGGTCCGCCCGTCCCCCGCCGGCGCTCCGCCAACTTGAGGCGCAGGCGGCCGCGCCGCCTCCCCCTCTCCGCGCCGCTCGGGCGGCGGGGAACGAACCGGCTCAGCGGCGGCTCCTCCCCCGCCGGGCGGTGCCGGCGGGCTCTGGAGGCGACCCAAGCCCGGGGGTCCCGGAGCAAGTCCTGTAACGGTGCTCGGCCCGCCGGCGGGGCAGGGGGGTGAAGGGGCGCTCCCGGTTTCCGCGGTGTATCTGTGCCACACACGCCATGCAGCCCCTCGGGCGATAAGAGCGGCGGGCGGGCCCCTTCAACGGCAGCAGCCGCCGGTGTCCTGCAGCGCAGCCCGCCCGAAGGGCTAGAGCCGCCTCGGGGGAGTCCGCGGCCGGGATCCGCCTCCAGCGCCGGGATACGGGACAGAAAACGTAGTTGCCCTGCTCACTCCTTCCCCGTGACACTCTTCGTCGCTGAGTTACAGAGAAACCAATGCAGGGCTACAGTGGAAATGCGTTTCTGTGTGGTTTTCGAAATACTTTTAGGAATGTCGACATTACTCATTAATTTGTAGTCTGTTTGTACTACAAACTACAAATGTCAAAATCGTACACGTCTGTTTAGTAATGAAAGCGTTGCTGGTCAATTTCTTCAGGTTTCTTACCTAAATCCCAGTGAAACTGAAACATTTAAATCAGCCTGCAGTGTAGGGGATTTTAACACAATATCCTGCTCTTTCAGTCTGCATATGTAAATCCTGTTAATATTTCAACTATGTAGTGTGTTTTTAAGTGTTCCTTAGAGTCTCTTCTGAGGTCTAAATGTTGTTTGTCATATTATATTTTACATGAAAGAGAAGAGCTACGTGGTAGTGTTGCTGTGTCTTATGCTTCAGTGCAATGTGCACAAGAAAAATTCTTTTGTGATTGACACCTGTGTAGCCATGACATTGCATGTGAGCTTGTCTTCCATTCCCTCTAATTCCCCTTGTACCTCTAAATCCACTTCTATGCGTTCCTGCCACCAACACACATTTGTGCAGTTTGATTTCATGCTAGTGGCTCTGTGTGCCCTTTGTTTTCAGCCTTCTTCTTTGACAGTGAGATGTCATAGCAGAAGTGGAGAAGTCTGGTGTCCCAGTGTATTGTATGACTGCTGTCCCCGCCCTTCCAGTGTATTGTGTGACTGTTTATGTAGCTTTTCTGCAGCCTTTGAAATTCTAAAGGTTTCTTGGATTCTGCTTGGTACCACCCCTATCTTCCTATAGGAGAGAATGGAAAGGTTTAATCTGTCCTAGACTGTTAAAAACCCTTCATACCTGAAGGGACACTGAGGTGTTTTGCCACCAGATGTTTTGCAAGATGACATTTTTCTGCCCTTAGCAGTTGGCCTGTGTCTTAGTGACTCAGATTGATCCAATGCACTGTGTTACCATCCTCTGGCAGGAGCCTTTTTTTGTTACAGGTTCTCTTTGTAGAAGAGATTGCCTAACACCACAGAAAAAATTCCCATTTAGATAAATGAAAAATATTTGGTAATCTGGTAGACATCAGTATTAGGGTGAGAGAGTTTTCAAGGAGACTATTGATCTGCATGCAACACTTAAAAAAAAAGTACAGTGCGAGAGGCCTGTTGTGTCTAGTCCAGTGACATAATGTTAAGGATGCTTGCAACCTTTTGCTTAATCTCCTGTCAGGCAGGCAAGTTCCTTAGCTGCATCACTTGCCTTAAATTTGTACAGAAATTTCCATTAATTGGTTTTGAAATAAACCAGTAATGATTTATTATCTAAGTCTGAGTAACACTAAAATTGTACCAGGGGATTTTGAGAAGTGTGCTTCAAATGGGAGCTATAAAGTATGTTAGAGGGAAATGGCTGACACTTGAAAACTTGCTTGACAGATGCTTAAAACTCAGTGGGGTTTTTCTCCTGCTAATTTACAGAGAAAGTAAAAGGTGAAGGCTGGAGTTTTGAAGTCTTCAGACTAAAGGTTAAATTTCTTAGGCAAGTGTAGATACAACATGGAAAAGATGCAAGCAAGGAGAAAAGGATTGAGTTTGTTTCCTGAACTTAGTTTCCCAATATTATTTTGACCATCCTATATTGCTTTTGACTGTCTCTGCAGGAGGACATAGGACTCTTGTAGGTGCTTTGTTCTGTTTCCTGGCCTCAAGTGAATGCCACAGACATCCTAGAGTGACTTTGCTCTCTGTACCGCAGCCTGGTATTTAGAAAAAAAACCAACCAACCAACCAAAAAGAAAACATACCAAAAACCCAAACAAAACAAAAAAACCCCAACAAAACAAAATCCCTCAAAAACCCCACCCCAAACCAGACATAAATTAGTCTTGGTTAAGCTGGTTTCTAGGAAAGATGAGTTGGACTCTGTCAAAGCAATGGTAAGAAAGTGCTGAGGTTGTTGGGAATGAATGGCACAGCCCAGTAGGTGTAATTGAAGGGTCAGAAATATTGCCTGCATAAGTAAAATGAGAGGTTATTTAGTATCTGCATGTCTGATGCAAAAGGATCTGATAAGAAGTAATTCTGCTAGGTTGAGTGGAAAATTATTAGAGATAAACCGAAGCTGGCAGAACAGGAAGAAAGGGATTTTTTGATGCTTTGTGGGAGATGACAGGACTTGTTCATGGACTTATTAAGACAGGGGAAGAGAAAGAAAGAAATCAAACATGACCCCTAGTCTACAGGACTGATAAAATGGAAGAAGCAGGCATGCTGGAAGAAGGAGAAAGGAAAGTGTTCAGTGTTTTAAAAGAAAATATATCAGCATACTGTTGGCTGTCAGAGGCATTGCTAAGTTAAACTTGAACAGCTCTCTGCTGTAACTGAACTGTAAAAGTCAGGCATGACAGATCTCATGCATACTTTGTCTGTGACAAGGGGTGCGTCTGCTTTCATGTGGCTTTAATCTGACTTCATGTGAAATGGAAAGCTCTGCTTCCTGAGAGTGTATGAAATTTTAAATATGAACAAAGTCTTACACAGTCTTGGCTTATGTTACTTCTGCCGGCATTGTTTACTCCCATCTTTCAGATTCCTCAATGAAGGTTAATAGCATAATTCAAAATACTTGGTTTTGTTTGCTTGCCTGGGTGTATGACAATAGTGAGGAAAAGGACTTTGATTGAAACCTAATTGGGACACTTCATTAGTGAGTTCAGGCCATTCTACTACAGGGAACTGCAGGCATGTTCCTTTTCTCTAGTGGTTAATTACTAAGCTAAAGCATGTGTGGAATTTATAGCAAAAAAATTAAACAGAAAATCAACTCTTAACTGTAAGGATAATTGTGAAAAGAACTTGGGAGCTTCTGATTTCCTTAGATTTATAGTAATTCTTCAAAATGTTATTTGAGGAGCTCAGTCAGTACAGGGTTCAAGTCACAAGAAGAATTGTTTCTCTAAAATACAAAGAGAAACTTGTTTTGCCTGCCTGTATGGAAAAGGCAGAAATTAAAACAATAGTGTTGCATATAAAGTCAATGGATATTTCCTCATACAGAGGAACTGACTAGTGCAAAGTATGTTATGTGATACCCAGATTAATTTGTCAAGACATACTCGTAACAGGGTGTTGAGCCAGTTTGAATGATGAAGTGCAAATGTCATAAACAATTGCACAGATACCCATGGCACAGTGGAGGCTGGTGGCTGCATATGGTTACCCTGAAGGTTTTAGGATGCTTCTGGTTGATATAGGCGTGTTCTTGTTTTTTTAATAACAAAAGACCGCAGATGGAAACAATTAGCTAAAACTGCACGTGACATAAATAAAATGTAATTATATTTAGTTGTATGATAGCCTCTCTTTCTTCCATACATGTACAAATAACCTATAAACATTTTAAATTTTGAAGTTAAAAATTTAAATAATTTATTTCATATATTTAGCAAGTGATAACTAGATGACTTGTTTTTCAGATCTGTAATGTTTAACCAATCTTTAAGTACTTTTCTGCTGAAAATTAGGTATGTCTCTTTGCCTAATTCCATTTAATAAATGAACATGAACTGCAAAATTAATTACTGTAAAATTAATATGGAAAAGGCAGAACAAAATGAGCTTTAAAACAAAACTGTTACTTCATAGGGATAATTCAGGCTCATCTTTTTCCCCCCCTATTCCTCATGTTTTCATGAAACAGCAGGGTTTCTGCCTCTCTGTACTTCTCGGCTTCAATTTTTTAATATTTTTTAAAATTCTTTTTTAAAGAGTTAGGTTTCCAGCTGCATTGAAACCTAATAGGATTTGGGAGTCTAATTTTCTTAAGCTCCTTTGAAAGTCCAAATCTTTTCTCTTGAGAGGTGTTTTATTTCAGAAGTAGACAAAGTTGATTAACCTGGATAGCAGCAACTTCTTTGAACCAGATCTACAGGCAGGAAAGCCACTTGTCAAACAAAGACTGTCAAATGCAGATACAGTATTAAAACCAGTGTTTGGTCTTCCTGTTGCATAAGGCATTAGGCAGACAAAAACCATTACAAGGCACACTAGCTTGCATAATCAGTGAAACACCTTAGGTTACTTTGTCCCTATGAATGGGAGACGGAGTGTGATAGATGTACAGGAAGCACTTGAAACTGCAGGAAAATTGTCTAATTATTGTCCTCCCCCTCGCTTGTTTGTATTTTTATGACAGTTTTCTGGGAGTTAAAGTTAGGAGGAGTATTCTGTGTTTTCTTGGGTGCTTTTTTCTTCCTTTTAAGCCATGCAATGGGCATTCACATGTTACTAAAATAATTGGTTAATGCTCAGAGGTAATTTCATCTAGCTAAGTACTTAGCTACACCTTGTAACTTTCTTGACTTGAAACCATAAAATTTTAATGTATTTGAACCTTCCTTTTTCCATTTCTCTGAAGTCACTTAAGGCTGAAATATTATCTGAGGCCACAGTTCATGCTTGGTGTCTTTCACTGCCTTGGTTTGGTATTTCAGATGTTTGCAAACTCTTTAAATTAA